TTAATGGAGAATACTGTAGGAACTGTAAAATAACAGTATAATTGCAACCAAAGAGCTGACAGTATAATACTGTAATGTTTATTTTACATACAGCACAGTACTGTAATATTTTTACAGTACTAAACTGTTGTTGTAGATCACAGTAGGTACACTGTAGAATAACAGTTTCAAGCTGGCAACTGTAGCTGCCAGTACTTTACTGTAATTTAACAGGAAATTTTGTTACAGTGCAGAGACTCAGTGAAGATGCGTCGTCCATCTTTATTTGGAGTCAGTGTGTCTCTGGGGAAAGATGTTTCTTCTGGTTGCACTTTTCACACATGAACACGACTGTAGCTGCTGTTTGTTCAGGCTGAACTCAACCAATATGTTTTATTGCCCACGACTAATTCCTGTAAAACGTTTCGTAAATCTCGACTCCGTTGAGAAGAATCTGTTGTGAGTTCTGTCCTGATTATTTCCCGGTGTCATTTTTTTTTTGCATTCGCGTCCATCAGCATCATGTTGGATTTGTATTTTGGACTGTGTGTGTGTTCAGAAGGGACTCGGAGCATCAGTGTGTCTCCGCCGTTGTTTGTTTTCTGTTGTCCGTGCACGACCATCGCACGGTCGTAAACTCATTTTACACGCCATGCTCCTCGCATTAGTCTCTGTGTTAACTAGCAGCGAGGAATGCAGTTGAACAGCTCAGTGGAAAAAGCAATATAATTTAACAAGATGCTAATCCCCAAATTGTTGTGGTGTTTAGTCACTGAGCGGCCGCACGCTGCGACGCGCCGCGGAGCTCAGGTAGGAGAGGGTGGTCTGCTCTTCACCTCATCCCTCGGTTCATCTCATGCAGCTGAGCTGAGCAGCTGGCGAGGTGATGAAGAGGTGATGAAGAGGAGAGAGGACGCGGAGCTAACACGAGAGGTTCAGAACATCTGGTTCATAATCGAGATCATCATCGATTTAGTCACAAATTGTGTTTGAATATTTGTCGACTGAACGTGGTTGAAAAAAAGAAAACGTCTGTGTAAACTTTGTTCTCGTCACATTTCAATGGTGAGATTTCCATTTGAATTTAGCTCAATTTCAATAAGTCGATAAAAAGAAGTGACACAACAAATATCATTGTTTTGATTTGATGTAACTCTAAGTTTAGTTTAACTTCTCACAGCATCACAACTCATGAAACGAGCCTGAATTCTTCTGTGTTCAAATCACTGCAGCTCCTTCTTCTCATTGGCTGAGCTGAATCCTCATTGGTTCCCTGTCATGTGACACAGGTCTGGTCATGTGACTTCAAACCAGGAAGTAGTTGTGTGTGTGTGTGTGTGTTCACCTGTGTCTTTCTTCTTTCATCGATGAATCACTTGTGGAGGAAACTTGTTAATGTCGAGACGTGAGTGAAACTGTGTTGAAACAAGTTTGTGTAGAAAAGTAATGAACTGATTGGTTTTAGTGGTTAAAGGTCAAAGGTCGTGGTGATGTTGTTGTTCTGGTTTAACCTTGATTCAAACTTTATTTAAAAACTCTCTATCACGAACCCGAGTTCATAGAAGGTATAATTTAAATATATATTTAAATGTATTATTTTTCACGTGTATTTTAAACTGCCCTCTGAAACCTCCGTCACAACACATTCCTGAAACGTCCCCAGATCATTCACGCTCTGCGTTCAAGACCTCGAAACCGAGATTCAAACGACCGACCGACAAGTTACGAGTGAGCCGAGGGGAGGAAGACGAGCGTGAGAGGAGAAGAATGGACGTCCTGACCGATCCTGAAGGGACTTTTAAAGGAAACGGCTTCGACATTGTGAGAAACAGTTAAGTGTGAAGTGACGGGCCGACCAGCACATCTTCAAGGTCGTGTTATTCACACACACACACACACACACACACACACACACACACACACACACACACAAATGGTCCCTGAATGTCAAGGAGAGGCTCCTGACATTAGAACCGCCCGTCCATTTCCTGTGAAGCTTTGTTCAGGTCAAGGAGACAAAAGGAACCAAAAACACCCTTTAACATTTTTTTGCTGAACTTATTGAGTCTGAACACCACCTTAAGTGTGTGTGTGTGTGTGTGTGTGTGTGTGTGTGTGTGTGTGTGTGTGTGTGTGTGCGTGTGTGTGTGTGCGTGTGTGTGTGCGTGTGTGTGTGGGAGCTGTAACTTTGTCATGTCTCAGAGTCCATCCCCCTCAACGTCCCAGCAAAACAACGTCTGTCTTTGTTTAGCCTGGTATTT